CCGTAGAGGCGTGTCCGCTGCCTCCGCCTGTCCTAATGCCCCTCTGACCCCAGGGCTGGGGCGGGCCGCCCCCCGGAGCGGAGAGCAGGCGCCCGACGTGGTCCAGGAGCTGCTCCGACACTCGTCCGATACGGCCTTCGCGGGGAAAGGTGCCTGCCTCCGGGGTGGGGCTGGGGGGACAGCCCTCCGGGGTGTGCGGGCCGGCTCCCCGTTCAGAGGCCGCCCTGCCAGTGGGCGGGGCGCAGGAGCACGGGCCCTCTCCCGGGAGGCGTGGGCTAAGGACCGCTGGGCCTCGCGGTCAGTGAGGCAGCCGCGGCCTGTCGGGGACGTCTCCTGTGCGCCCCGCGCTGGCACCGGGGCGTCGGGGCGCAGGTCTAGGGCGTGGGCTTCACACCGGCCCTGCGGCCACCGCGCCCGGCCCGGCCCTGACACGCGCCTCTGTTCACAGTGCTGACGTGGGACGGTGGGCCCTCGGCGGTCAGCCAGGACGCTGTCCAGGACAGCAGACTGGCCCGCGCCGCCACGGTGATCGACGACTGGGACACAGAGTTCGATCAGGGGAAGGTAAGGTGTGGCCGGGGGGGGGCTGGAGCCAGGCACCGGGGTTCAGGCCACCAGCCGTCTCGGCCTGGCCCCTGCCCCCACCAGCCAGCAGGGCAGCGGGGCCACTGCAGGTGCCCTGGCCACAGCGGGCTCAGCCCTGTGCTCTCCATGCAGGAAAAGAAAATGAAGAAGCTCAAGAGAGAAAAGAAAAGAAACTTCAATGCCTTCCAGAAACTTCAGAGTAGACGGAACTTCTGGTCTGTGACTCACCCAGCAAAGGTCACCAGCCTCAGCTATCGCCGCTGAGTTCACTGCTGTCGAGACGGGTCTGAAGAGGGGACAGCAGGCGCCCTCCCGCGGGGCCAGGTGTCCCGGCTTTGCCATGATGCAGGCGGGGCGCACGCGGCTCTCGCCGGTCAGTAACAGCGGCCTGCACACCGGGCGGCCTTCCCGGGAAGTGTCATCGGGACTGCAGGGGCAGCGAGTGGCCTCCTGCCGCCTGACCAGCAGCCTGGCGTGGGCCGGGGATGCAGGCGGGCAGCGAGCAGCCGCACGCGCCCGGCA